TTTACTTTTCTTAGTTGTTTCTTCTTTTTCCTGTATAAATACTTTGTTTTATTGTAATTTCTGTAACTTTTCAATACAATTCATTTTCAGTTTGTTCTTTCTGGTTTTCTCTTTCTCGTTTCTCTGATCACTTACAGTTGTTCATTATGCAGATTTGTCTTATATTGAGAGGAAGTCCAGTTAGTGGATTGACGTTTTTGGTAAAAGAAAACTTTCATAGAACACATATATCAAACTTTCATATACAATGTTTTGCTGTACTGCAAACATTGTATATGAATTTATAAAAATTTAAAACCTCAAGTTGTTATACGTCATTAGATTTTACTGTTCGTGTTATATTTTCTGTCTTTAATTTAAAATAGAAAAGAAAATTCAGTAAATAAAGTGCTTCGGAGATTTGAAATTTAAGTTTTATTGTATGAATCCTAAGCAGATCTCGTCATTCAGAGAGAGCAAGTCGGACGATAGACGGTTTTATATATTCACAGCAACAAAAACTCTCCATCTGAGAACTGATTCAAGGAAGGACCGTGTCGTGTGGATTCAAGCTTTGGTTTCAACCCGAGAATTATATCCAATCAACGAAGAATGGTTTTTCAAGTTTAGTACATGGAAAATATAGCGGTATTAAGTTATGTTTATGCTTCTAATTATAATCTCTATACATATGCTGCGATCTTTTCTCTTTCAAATTTCATGTAGTTAACATGTTCCAGTCTTCATATTTTAGAGTCTTCGTTTTCTCGATAGTGATTGTAGGGACCTAGAGTTTTGTGATATGGACATGAAGAATATTGCTTACAAACTAATTTTTGAATTATGGAAAGTATTTTGTTATATGTCATTAGAACGTGAATCTATATTTTCTAATTTCTAATTTGAAATTTTCTTAAGTGAATAATTTACTAGTAACATTTTCTTCATGCTGTTTGCCTTTGAACTCGACAAAATTGATTCTTCAATATTTTAGCTATCTTGTAGGTTCAAATTGGCATGAAGTTATCATTCAAAGTCCAATTCTTTGCTGCTGTTGAATTTTTGTTGTAGGGTGGAAGGTAAGCTAACTAAGATGCTGTCTTTCAGATGGCACAATCCTTTGTTGGCCATTGTACACTAACCATTTCAGGATGGCGTAGGTTGTTTTTCTTGTTGAGGCGTTTTCCCATTGAATCTAGAGGCCGTCAAAAGAAACTTTACGAGGTTTGTTTCTAAAGTATTTGTTGCTTCAGGCTTTTCAACCTTAGAGAGAAATATATCCTTAAATTGTGTGACTTCCGATGTTTTAGGTTTGAATCAGGTGATTTTGGACTTGCCAAAATGTTGACTTACGATGATCTAACTTCCTCTGTAAGAAATATTTAATCTAAGAATGAGTTGTTAGCCTTCCTGATTGCAACTTTTGTATGGTCATCATAAATAATGACTTGTGATTTAGGTCGTCGGAACTCCTAGCTATATGTGTCCTGAACTCGTTGCTCTTATGGCTCTAAATCAGATATTTGGTCCCTTGGTAAGTACTCATTTGATAAGTTTTTTTATTATCTAGTTCATTGTGTATTCATGATCTCTGAATTCGATTATTCAGGATGTTTTATATATGAAATGACCTCGCTTAAGCCTGCATTCAAAGCATTTGTAAGTTTTCTTCTACAATCACAAGTTTTTTTGTTTTCTTTTTTCTTTTCTTTTTTCTTTTTTCTTTATGTACATTGTCTTTGAATGTCACGCCTCATTTATTAAAGTGCTGATTCACCACTGTGCTTCCATTAATACACCCACGCCCCACGTGCGGTGCCATTAATGTGCACTCACATTCTCTGAATCCCTTTGACATGTGTCAATTCGGAAGGTTCTGAATGCAGTAGTGGAAGCCAGGTGTCAGCGCAAGAGAGAACGTCCGTTTGACTTGGGAAGAGAATTGATTTTTTTGAAACACTCTTCTCCTTCTCTGCGTGCATCTTCATCTTCCTCAGAAATTCAAAACCTCCATTTTCTCCTCCTTCTCTCTAGAACCCTCTTCTTCTCTCTACTGTAATTCACCAACCTTTACTCCGTTCACGTTTCAGCACCGTAGAAACGTTCTCTGCACTGTGAGCTTCATCTTGAACCGAACTACTTTCAGTTCTGTAACCGGTAAGTTCCCAACCTAAGACGTTCGTTTCTGGATTTCATGCAAACCCAGATTCATCTGTATGCAAGGGTGGAAACTAAGCCCTTTCGTTTTCTTTTGGCTAGTTTTAGTTGGAGAGATTAAGAGAACAGTTGAGAGAGAGCCATATTTGGAAGAGTCAAGATCATTCACTCTTTGAACGTTCACCCCAATCCGGGTAAGGGAAGCTTATTAACATTTAATTCTTGAGTTTACTGTGTTGCATGGTTGTTCTGTGACGTTGTACTGTGTTGGATGCATGTTCTATGAAATTATTGAGTATGATTTATGATATTGAATTTTTTGGTATATGATTATGATCCGAATTGATGTATGGAAATGATGAGATGTTCTATGGTTTGATTTAAATTAAAAATGAGCTGTATGATGAGATGATGCATGAAAAAGTATGGATTTGTACTATGATAAGAGTAAATTGATGTATGAAAGTTTATACTGAAAAATTGTGTATACTGTAAGTTGAATTTGAAAATGTAAGTCTATGAAAATGAACGTTCGTTATCGAAACGGTCTTTGACCGTTCGGTATCCTTGGTAAATTCTTTGAATTAGTTGGATCCTTTCATTTGGAAAGGATTCTATTTGAAGACGAACGCCCTCATATATATAGCTTTGCTTTTGAGCGTTCGGCCAAACGTAAATATCTTGAGAGTTGGGTGAGAGATTTGAGAAGCCTGAAAATATATATTCAAACACTTAATCATATTGTTAAAAATGTAACTTCACCATTATAATTTGTGAAAAATCCTATTTCAAATATATTGAATCAGTGATGGGTCTCGACCCAAAGCGTAAGTGATAAGTAGCGCTCGGTCCTATACCGAACGCTCGTTCTTTCCGTACTTATCAAGGAGCTGAAATAGCGTTCGTCCTGAATTTTAATAGCGTTCGTCCATGAACTTAAATAGCGTTCGTCCCTAATTTCAGTAAATTCTTGTAACGTGTTCGGTCATTCACTGGCAGTCGTTATTCCGACTAAATTGTACTTAGCATTTTAGCACTCGTATTTTTATCTACATTCAGTTGAATGGAATCTGAAATCGTGTCAAGTGAATTATTCTAAGTATACGTCGAATTGTTCTAGAATCAATTCATTTAACTGATTCAAATTGTAATAATGTTCGTCATGAAAGATGGGTCAGCTTTATTCCTTTGGAAAAGAAGTTCCTTCAGTCTTGCTCTTGACGTTCGTCCTCGATATGAATAGGACTGAACGCTCGTCTTTTTAAGGAAGTAGAACAAAGAATGAAAATGTTAATAAGAGAAAGCATTAAGATGTGCGAACACTATAAGAATTGAAATTATGATTGTGGTTTTTGAACGAGCGTTCCAGGGAGGAACGACTCTTGAATGGAAATTGAGATTTGTAAGGTATGAACGTGGTAAGCTTAGATGGTGGTTCATCCTGATATTCCGTGAGTGCTCGTTCTCAAGTAGAGAGGAGTATGTCATGTGTGGGAATGGCAGGAGGTCTAGTCCATAACTGTAACTTGGACAGAACAGACTAACCTCAGGTGGCGACTGATGAGCATTCCAGTTATCCCACCTGTGTGCACGAACGCCTTAGCTACACAGGATTCATATAGTCCGGACGGTCGGTCTAGTATCAGGATTTGGATGGAATTAATGGATGAATTGAAGAATGTATTGTAGAATTTACTTGCTGAATTTGATAAGTATGAAATATATGTTTGACTTGAATTAAATTCAATAAGCTTTACCCTTGCGTTTCCATTGTGTTGTCTGTATATGTATATCCGTCTTGTCTTTGCAATGATCATCCATGTGGATGTGAGCAGAGGGAGATGCTTCTCTGGAAGAAACGCTCGAGGAAGGTATCATGGCGGAAGAAAATTTGGTAGATGTTGAATTGAAGGCCGAACAATAGTACGTTCGGTTATTTGATAGTTTAGTTTGAATAGCGTGCCGTTGAGAGCGAACGCCTTTTTCTTTATGTAAATATTTGGACGTTCGGTATTTTATTTTTGTAAAACCGTTCGTCCTTAAATATTAGTGAACGTTCGTACCTTTATGTTTATATGTAAGGTCGTTCGACCACTTGTGAGAGTTATCTCCTTTTTGTAAGACTGTTTTGTTATATTAATACATGTGAATATTCTATTATATAGTTGCTGACTGTATAATTTTGGGATGTTACATTGAACATATTTAATACTTTATATTTTTTCGTGTCACATGACCAACTTTCTGTTTGTTATAATAAGATGCCAATGTCTGGATAGCAATCTGATTGATATTGAATTGAATTTGAATCCCCTAAAGTGAGGCGTGCAACCTAAAATAGGAAAAATTGTGGAGTTATAACCGAAGACTTAAATAAACAATTAGTTTTATGCATGTGCATGTATACATACACATTATAACTATTGAGTGGTTAAAATGTACTCAATTAATTTTTCAGTCAACGATTATACCTCTGCATTTTATTCTCTAAAATATGCTCTCCTCTTTAGGCAGCCAAATCCTGTTATGTTACCTAGTTTCAACATGCTTTTTCTGTTCTATGGATTGAATTTTGTCTCTTTGTATTTTGTCATGACTTTCTTAATTGATTAGCAGTTGCATGGCTATCCATAATTACATATATCTCTCCAAAGCTCGAAAACTACTTGCATTTCCTAATTTTATATCTTTTTGGCAAACATTGCTCTTTTTTTAAGGCTTAAATGTTTACTTGGTCCTTATATTAAGTGATTTTTTTCAGTTTAGTACCCAGTTTTAAAAGTGTATACATTAGATCCTAAAGTTATAAAAATGGTATGAATTTAAGTCCTATCCGTTAATTCGTCACACGTGAAGCACTTTTTTTTCTCTCTCTCATCTGCTTTTCCTGTAACACCCAGCTTTTTCTCTCTTCTCTTTTCTCTCTCCTCATTCCGCCACCAACCCATCAGAGGTTTCCCTCATTCGACAAATCTAACAAATTTTCAGGTTCTTTTGTTTTCTTCTCTTTAATGCTCTATTCCTTCCCTCCGATTCCTAACCGCATCTCACCTATTCGATTAGGGTCGCCATTGAGTCTCACTCTCCCTCTGCTAAGAATAACAAGGAGCGGCAGGAGAAGCTTCTCGTCGTTGTCCTCAGAGCCTCAACGATGGCATCAACACTATCATTCGCAGACAAGAAACCCTACGCTTCCCTTTCTCCCCAACCTCTTTCGAAGGTTCCCCTCCACCACTCCCACCTCCACACGCTCCTCCTCCAACTCTCACCCACCTCGCATTAACCCCTTAAGGCTAGGGACTCCTCTCCTCTGTATTTTGAGATCACAGATCCAACCACTGCTCCGTCTATTCATTCACCGCCGGTGACCGCCATTGCAATACCCTCTATCGGAGACGAGGAACGCAGGGGTCCGAATCCTAGGGTTTCGAAACTCGATCAGCCTTCCAGGGCTGATGAGGTGGACAATTGGGCCTCCGTGAAGAAATTTGTCCCCGCGTTTTGGTGGTTTTGGTGGCGCGGTGGCAGTGGTTTTGGTGGTGCGTTTAAGGCTGATGGTTTGGATAATTGGGTGATTGGTAAGAAGGCTGCTCTTGTTAGATCTTCCAATTTTAGTTCAAGTTTTCGTGATTCGGGTGTTTGGGGATGCTGTATTTTGTATCCATTTTCAATTACGATATTACACTTTATTCTTCTCCTTCTTTCACTGAACAAGAAAAGGTGCAACTTTACTTACTGGGTAACTGACAAAGGAAGACGACCCAAATGCTTTAGTAGACATTGAAATTCAGTTGCCTCTCCTCTCTTCTCCGATTGTCTCCATCTTTAACCCAATGTAATTGTCTTTCATTTGTTTCAAACAGGATATACAGCCCTGATTAACAAAATTAACAAGTCCATAGTGGCTTCATTGCCAACAAAATGTTCTGGTGCATTGTAAGTCTTTGTTCTTTTGTCATTTAGTTGCTATGGCTTATACTTTTAGTTATTAAATTGCTCTGCCCTGTCTTAATGTTGTTAAATGTGGAACTTTTGTTGACCTAATGCCTAAAATTGTCGTAACTTACAGCTTTAGGCAAGGAAAAGCTCACCGAAAGTGAGGTTTCTTGTAAATTTATTGCAATCAATCAGTTATATTATGAACTGTACTATTGTTCTAACAAATATTTTATTTCTGCAGATAGGTATCTTGATGAGTAAGGAAGTGCTTAAACGTTTGTAAAATTTTAAATATGTCTTCAGAAATCTAAACTTCGTAGTATGTGATTCTGCATTATCAGAATGAGATTTAATTTGTTTGGATAGAGTGAGTAAATTGTGAAAATACTTGTCAGGTTTTCAGTGCATTCAACTTGAAAGGTCAAATGATCATAGAACTAGTCGTATTGATCTAAAACCAGTAAAGAATATTTATTATCTTGTATCTTTGATAAAGAATATTTATTATCAAGGATTTTAATTAAAATCTTTGATAATATAAATCAAAGATTTGCTAAACTTTCTATTGGAGACAACCACGATTTGAAGTTGGGAAGTATGTTGAGAAGATTGGTTTGTGTGTGCATGACAGGGAACAGAGGATTCTGCAGTGCAAAGAGAAGCATGGCTGGTGCATTAAAAAAGTGTATGATGCTCTGTTGCACGAGCAAGATTGTCTCGGTATGTTTTTCATTTATTAAACATTTAATTCAATTTTACGTTTCTTTATATATTTTTAATTCACTTTTTATTAAAAAAAATGTTGGTTGAATATTTAAGACCTTTAGTATTTTTTAATTAAATTATTATTATTTAATTTCTTTCATTAATTGAATGATATAATTACTGTTATATTATTTGCTTATCTCTACATGTTGATAAATTTAGAATCCCTACGTTGGCTTGAGCGGGTGGAGAAGTCGAGGACAAGTTGGAGCATCTCATTGCAATGGGGTCATTGGGAACAACATACTCCGATGTGTCTACTATGAACTTTATGAATCAAATATTTTTAATATTTTAATTTAGTATTGAACATCTTTCTTTTTAATTTTTATATATGAACAATTAAATGTATGGATTACTGTAGTTTATTTTATATATAATATTCAGTTTTAGTACATATTATTTCATTGTCTATGTGGTTAAAAAATTAATTTGATCATAATCCTATTTTATCATAATAAAAAAAAATTGTACACATTTTCGGCGGTTTCTGAGAAACCCTTGTTAATATCGACGGTTTTTTCAAAACCCCTGCAAATACCGACGGTTTTTGGGGAACCTCTGCTAATACCAGCGGTTTTAACAAAACCCCTGTAAGTACCAGCGGTTTCTACAAAACCTCCGCTAATACCGGCGGTTTTGCAAAACCCCCGCTAATACTGGCGGTTTTGCAAAACACTCGTTAATACCGATGGTTTTCGGTAATTACTTAGTGACGCAGCTTTTCCCAGTGGTTTTCCGAACCGAGGGTAATGCATTTTCCGAAGGTTAAAACTGCCAGAAACGAAAAAAATAACCCCCGGAAAATTGTAAATTTTTGTAGTGTCACCATCTCCAAATCTACCCCCAAGGGGTGAAAAGTGGGTTTTTGTGCTCAAGCCATCAAAAGATACAATCCCTAGGATGTGCAAGTTCTTAAATAGAACATAAAAATAACAGAAAAACAGGTCCAAGCCCATAAAAATAACAGAAACTGGTCCAAGCCCACTTAAATGGCGCTCAACAGTAAGTGCGACTATACAAAATGACGCTTAGCGGCAATTTTGGCAAGCGTGAGACAACAAAAATTGATGCTCAGCACCCCCTGCTACTTAGCGCAACTTTTTCTGCACTCTAGTTATCTTTTCTACACTTTGGTTGACTGGTTGACTTTTATTGATTCTGGTTGACTTTTCTGCATTCTGGTGACTTTTCTACATCCGAACCATTTGGTACTTTAACTCTTCTTTCACATAATTCCAATAGCCTACAAAATCAAGGGAATCTAGCACAAAACCATTAAATTCATCTTCAACTCTCTTATTCACAAAACTAAACAAAAACATGAGTTCAAGCAAGCTTCTAAGTCAAAAAGGGTTTTTTAAATATCAAAATTAAGTATACAAATAACGATTTTTCAACCGTTATCACAACCCCAAACTTGAAACTTTGCTTGTCCTCAAGCAAAATGTAACTTGGCTGAAACAAAATACTCATACTACATTGGTCTAGCACACCAAAAAGCATTTTTCTCTTAGGACAAGTAAATCACTCATGAATACTCATCATAGAAAGATTAGTCAAGATATAATAATGCTTTAGCTAATCAAGCTTCAATTATGGTGCTCAAATAACCAAGAAATACATAATAGATGCAAACCTCATGATAATTAACAACCAAGCAAGAATGTTATCATAAAATTCATGGAACAATTCCTCACCAAAGACAGTGTTTCACTCAAGAACTCAAAAGTGTTTCACTCAAACTCAAAGGTGTATAGTGAGATATCACTCTTACACTCTACCATCACAAGGTCACATGAATCAACTTTGCCTTTCATTTAACCACATATCAAACACACTCATAAGTAATTTATCATCACAATGACTTTTCAAGGCTTTTATTTATGTTGGGCTATGAAGAAAATTGGTTTTTCTAGACAATAAAATTCCTTGAGTTAATATAGTGCACAATTCTTTTTTTCACATTAACAATTAACTCTCTTTCTCCTTTTATGTGAGAAACTAAATCTTCAACTTATTCCTAACTTTCCTTTCATTGAGCTCAACCTTTTCTTTTCTTTCTTTTCTTCTCTTTTATTCTCTTTTCTTTTTCTTTTTCTTTTTGGTTTTGCTCAATGCTCTTTTATAAATTTCACAAAGTTCTTTTTGGTTTCTCACCATCCCAAACCTGAACCATTCTCCATTACCACAAAAACATACTCTACTTAACTCAAGGTAAGGATTTCAAAAAGGGTTTTTCCAGTTTTCAAATTTAGGCTCAAGGTGCAAAGGTTAGAGAAAAATTGTTCTTTGTTGGGTTCACCTAGTTGCATTGGCTCTAAAGGAGAAGAAAAAAATGGCCTTGATCATTTGTAACAAGCAAGCAAGTGGTCCAATAATAGAAAATTAGGCAAAATCAATCATGCTTCCAAAGTAATAGCACTCAATCAATCAAAAACTCTGGAGCCTAATCTCTCACAGGTTAACTCAAGTTCCACAATTTGATAAACATCTTGCCCAACATATTAATCACAATTGAAATCATGCATATGTTTTTAACAATACTATGAGCAACCACCATCTATGCTTAAAAAGCCTCAACAATCACTAACTCAACATGCATCATAGAACAATAGAGCAAACACAAGAATATTACTCATCACAAACAACAGTTTATCACATCATACCAAACCGTTGCACACAACTCATTAAACCAAGTACATAAGCCAAAATAAAAATAAAACAAAATTCAAATAAAATAAAGCAAAAACATAAAAATCCTGATCCATCAGCATCCATCAGTAGATGTTGTCAGTAACATCCATCAGTAGATGTCTAGTAGCATAACATCCATTAGTAGATGCTCTCATCTGAATCTTCCAGCATCAATCAGTAGATGCGAATCCTTAGCATTAGCATCCATAAGTAGATGATAATCTTTCTCATCTTCATCGGCATCCATCAGTAGACGCCTTCAGTAGCATCCATCACTAAACGCTTAATCACATAGCATCCATCAGTAGACGCTATCATTCATCACCCTCATCATAGCAGCATCTATCAGTAGATGCTGTCTTCTGAGTCCTCCTAGCTTCCCTTAGTAGATGATGTCCAACACCCATCAGTAGATGCTGTAATTCCTGCAAAGCAAATTCAAATCCAAAAGAAACAAAATCAGAAATTGGGTTGCCTCCCAATAAGCGCTTGTTTAACGTCACGAACCTGACACCATTAAGCACAATATGCATCTATGATGTTGGTGTTCCTTTTGCTTTCATCACACCAACTTATCTGCAATATCTTCTTGTTCACCATCTTTACCCTCCTTGAATAAGGAGCCTTAATCTCAATAACTTCATTCTCTTTGATATTTTTAACCACTTCATGCACAGAACTTGGTGAACATGATACTTGAAGGATGGCCCTCAGCGCCCTTAATGGGGCGCCCAGGTGCGCCTTGCGACCTTCTTCCTCCTTCTTCTCTTGATGATCGCGTACTCCTAGTACAGATTTTCGAATTTTATCCTGCAAACACTAAAGAACACTTCACTATAGTACCCAATTAGCACAAACAGATAAAAAATTAAAAAGATAAATAGATGAAGAGATAGAAAAATAAAAAGATAAAAAGATAGAAAGATAGAAAGATAAAAAGATAAAAAATTAAAAAGAAAAAAATTGAAGAGATGGAAAGATAAAAGGATAAAAAGATAAAAAAATAGAAAGATAGAAAGATAAAAAGATAAAAAAAAGGTACAAAGATAAAAAGATAAAAAGATGAAAAGATAAAAATAAGAATAAAAAGAAAAAAAATAAATAAATAAAAAGAAAAAAAAACTATAAAGATAAAAAGATAAAAAGATAAAGAGAGAAAAAGATAAAAAGAGGAAAAGATAAAAGAGAAAAAGATAAAAAGATAAAAAAATAGAAAGATAAAAAAAATAAAAAGATAAAAAAATTAAAAAGATAAAAAGTCTAATCGGTTAAGAATCACACAAATAGAATAGTTATACCACGAGTCTCCGGCAGCAGTGCCAAAAACATGATAAACAAATTTTTAATCCCCGAAAACGGAGTCAAAAACTTGTTAAGACCTCGACAAGTGTACCGAATCGTATCAAGTAATAATAAATGGTAAGACCAAGTATCGTTTCCCAAGAGACTCACGGCTCTAAACAGTTATGTGATTACTCGACTGATTAAGACTCTAAAGAGCAAATTTTGGGGTTTTTGAATGCAAATGCAATAAAATAAACATGAATGCAATTTGATCAATTGAGGATAAACACAAGAATGAATGGATGAAGTTGATGATATTGTTGTTGGGTTTAGATTCCACCTAATTTACTGTCATGCATATATGAATTCATCTTTCTTCATTAATGTTAATGCCACTTTCTAATTTACCTTAAACCCGATGTCTCGATGAAGAAAGCCTAATCTTAATCACTAGTTCACAATGTCTTGTCTCCCTAGCAATTAATCATGCATTACATTCGCACAGAAGCTTAAAGGCAACCGATCCTCCTATTCTTATGTCTAGGTAATATTGCTTCCGGGAGAATTTCCCTTTTTCTAGATTTTTTCGTATGTGTCTATATCGACAAAATCAATGATCATGCAATTGAATGAGTTAAAGAAAACATGCAAAGAGTAAAGAGGAAAAACCCTCACAATTAATGAAGTAAAGCTTATATAATCAAGAATCAATTCAATACACGAGAGTTTAAGAGGTTACATCTTTCCCAAAAACAAATAAGGTTTAGTTCTCCATCGTCATAGAAGAACTAGATGAACAATGGAATGAAAGAATGCAAGAGATAGAAAAACCCTAGAAAGAGAAGAGGAAAGCCATCACCAGATCCAAATCTACGCCCAAGGGGTGAAAAGTGTGTTTCTGTGCTCAAGCCATCAAAAGATACAATCCCTAGAACGTGCAAGTCCTTAAATAGAACATAAAAATAACAGAAAAACAGGTCCAAGCTCATAAAAATAACAGTAAACAGGTTCAAGCCCACTTAAATAGCGCTCAGTGGCACTTTTGGCGCTCAACGGTAAGTGCGACTCTTCAAAATGACGCTCAGCGGCAATTTTGGCAAGCGTGAGAAAGCAAAAATTGGTGCTCAGCGCCGCTTGCCGCTCAGCGCAACTTTTCTGCACTCTGGTTGACTTTTCTGCGCTCTGGTTGACGTTTTTGCATTCTGGTTGACTTTCTGCATTCCAACCATTTGGTACTTTAAGTGTTCTTTTAAATCATTCCAATAGCCTACAAAATCAAGGGAATCTAGCTCAAAACCATTAAATTCATCTTCAACTCTCTTATTCACAAAACTAAAGAAAAAACATGAGTTC